TGTGTTTGAAATTCAATTTATGTGCGTACTTTTTAACAAGACTAACGTTTAGGTCTGCATTAAGGGGGGATTTTCCTTTGTGTGTTTTGTCAATTACATGTACATGTATCATAAAAATGCACGTATCACCTTACAAATTACGTACATGTATTTGTCCTACTTTCTAACATGTACGTACGTAGTAATAAAATTACGAGACCAATGATAATGTATATACTTTTTTTCTTGATTTTCATTTTTTTGTATGCTTATGTAATATTAGTTTTTTTACTTTCTTTTTATAAAAGTTATTATTTGTTTTTAGTCTTAAAGGTGCTTTTTAGAGGAGTGATTATTGGTTTTGCGAGAAGTAAAAATATTCCTTTGGGCTTTGCTATGACGATATTTTTTCTGTAACACCGGATATAATAAATACCGAAGAGTCGGTATCAGCATATTAAATTGCCATATCGGTAGTTTTCGTTATTTGTCTTGCCGTTATCATGCTTAAGTGCATACATACGTATTTTATGTCGCACACTATGAATCGTAAATACATGTACATGAACTGATTACGTATATACAGCAGCATTGTTATCTTTCTTTAACATGGAAAACACATCTTCTGAGGACCTCGAAGTTCCTGTTCAATCCAATGATGATACTCCAGTCCGCATTAAACTTCCTGTAGCTGCAAAGCTTACAGAAATACGTAAAATACTTTCCAATAAACCAGAGATAAGAATGGGACATAAAGCTCATTTTATGTGCCTACGTAACGAAAGCTCAATTATTCCGCATGACGAGGAAGAAAAATATTGTTTAAAAGATGTTATTGACCTTTTTAAAAATTTGAAATTAAAGGGTGAGATAGAACCAAATTGGACAGAAATTATCGAAAATAATTTGCTTGAATATGGATTATTTTTTACGGAGAACGGACCTAAATCAGCAGAGGAAAAAGCATTTGAGATTGTACCATGTCCGAGAACTACATTGCCAAGACAAATTACTTTGGACCGAGAATTATATTGTAGAACGGAAATAGATGATGTTCGTACAAAAAATTTATTCGTTGCAACAAATCTAGATGCAAACTTGCCATCGTAAGAACTATTGACTTTATTCAAGTTTTATTTGTTAATTCTTTTTACCTGTTTTTAATTATACAAAAATGCAGTATGCCAATTTTCACGACGATTGGTGGTTCTTATAAATCGAATTTAGTCAATCATTACAATAAGGAGAAATTCAAAACATACCGGAACTTGATAAGAATAAAAGCAATATTTACAATGTCCGAATCAGAAATCAAACCAACTAAAGAATTCGTTTCAGCAGTAGATGAGGCACTCGAATCAACAAACTGTCGTACATCCCTCGAACAAGTATCAAAGAATTTTGGAGAATTTTGGTGTAAAAAAATTGGAATTGGCGGAAGCATTTTATATGTTAAAAAAGGAGAATCAATTGTAAATGAAAATCAAAGATACAAAAATATAGAAGGAAGTATTAAGTTTGGTGTCGGAGGAACAGTTGGGAAAAGCGAAGGAGCAAATCAGATGAATGCAGTACTTAACGAATTCTCTTATTTTCAAATTCGTGGTGGCTTAGAAAAACATTTTCATGAACAAGACTTGGGTGGTATGTAAAACTATATAAATCAAAGCATTATATGGTTTGTATTCACTCTTTGTGTATAATGTAGGATGGATTGCGTCTTTAGAAGATTATAAAACGTGGGAGGTAGCTGCATATTATCCTGATATTCATTCAATATTTGATATTCTTGATGAAGAAAGACGAGCAAAAGTAGCAGCAGCTTTGGGAAAACGAATTATTGATTCTCAAGTTGTAAAATTAGACTTCAGAATGGATATTTCCAAACCGTATCCACATATATACGAAATTCCGAAACAATATGATTTATCGAGTTGTCAAATTTTTGTTACCGAAATGAAAAATGACAACTCTGATACAATATTTGCTTCTCGAGTTCATTATCCTAATGAAAAAGATCCGCCAGTAATTCTATTGCATCGGCTTGGATCATTGAATAGAAAATCAAAATATCAAAAATTTTCAATAATGTTAGGTTGGATCGTACTTGGTACATCTACTATGTTGCCAACAAAGCTAGTTTTTGAAAGCGGCGAATCACCAATCACAGTCGAGAATAAATATTGTACAGCGATTATTTCCTCGCATGCACTGGAACCGAATGAAAGTCTATTGGCTACTTGTGTTTCAAGATCTAAAGATATGCAAGAAAATTTTAAAAAGTCCAAATATGTAACGAGGTCTCATTTTGTTTATAAAAATAATGCTATTTGTGCTTGTGCTTTTTGTTATGACCTCGAAAAAAGTAAGTATTTTCAACTATTAATATTTATCTTTGCTCTTAATATTAATAATATTATACATTTATTTAAAAAGAAGAACTATTTTATCAATTGGACAAGTTAAAAACGATGTTTTCGATCAACTACAGGTAAATAATATTTGATAGTTTCGATTTAAACTGGTTAATTATAATTTTAGTCTTTTAATCAGTGTAATTTCCGGGCAACAAATTGATAAATTCGGCCAAGCACAAATAGAGAGTGATTCTCGCATTAAAACTGTTTACCAAACAGCTACTCAACGATGTAAAATTATATTTGACAGCTATTGTGACTTAACACAACCATGTTTGCAGAGCCCTATCTTCGTCAACCTAGTCCTGAACGAATGCCCAAAACAATGTCCACATGGAGTATTCAATATTACACCATATCACGCAGAGTTTAAGTATATTTACGTTTCCAGCACGAGTTTGAAAGAGAAGCAGATTGCATATTTTTGTGTTCCCATTAACGAGAATAAAGGAAATGAATCACGGTTAATGATATAGAGGTTACACTTAAATTTGTTATTTATCGTTATCGTTATACGTACGTAGATTTACAAATTTTAACAACTATCAATATCGAGTCAATAGAAAATATACTATATATATAATTTACTTGGTTTTTATTGACTCACCCCCATATATCGATATACTGTACTGTATATGTATTAAGATAGCTCTTTCAATTACATAATTAAAAAGTAACATCTTTTAACTAACTTATGTTGCCTAATTGAAATACAGTCAAACTCCTTTAAATGCAAATGTATTTGCGAGCGCCAGTTCCAGATTAAAGGAGTGTGATTGTATAGTCACACGTCTCTAAATGTATGCTCTTTTAAATTTATTTTCTAGTGCTAGTTGTAAGATTATGCTTTAAGAGAAGTACGTAGTTTTGTTATAATTAATTATTATTATGCTTTGATAGTACTGGATCCCTTTATTCTAAAATTTCCTTTTTTTGTGACACAATCCCCTTCTATTACCTTACAAATTGAACAATAGAAAATTCCAGTAGGAATTGGTATAGGACTTAGATGCTTCACCTTTTATTATTGTTGCCTTATTGATTAATTCCCTCTCCCAACCCTTGTTCAGGTTTGCAAGCTAATTCCCCAATTAATAAACAAACTTGTAACGCTATTTTAGAATGCTATACAAACATTTATTCTATTCTATTTTATTATTTTATCTTTTTGAATTTGGTTGTTGAATGGTCCTTAATGGGACCAGATACTGGTTGTCGAACTGATGAGTTTGTTCAGGGCCCCATAATAGACCATACCTGAAAAGATAATCTCTCCTCTTGGTAGGGGCTAGATACTTGGTTATCAGATTTGACTATTTTGATTTGACCACCTCGAATTCATATAGAACTACTTGGCCCAAGAAATTGTAATCCCAAATCATGGCTGTTCCTTAAATTGAATACTGGGTTTAGATTATCATTATCATCTTTAAAACAGTTATCGTTGTGATCAATAACCTAACGTTAATTTTTTGCATCAATATACAGTGGCTCACACATGTAACCGAACACGAAAATTAACTTTCTAGCATTTTTATTTCCATGACTATTAGTTTG